CTGCGGGGAGACGGGGGGGAGGGCGGGCCGCGCCCCGGCCGCCCCCACCCGCCAGGAGAAACCAGAGGGACAGCAGAGGGTCCTCCCGCGCCGGCACAACCGTGCAGGACACCGAACTAGGAGCAGCCGTCGCTGCTCCTCCAAACAGAAAGCAAAACAGCAGCTCTAAAATGGAACAGATCCGCGGGTTCTCCCCACCTCCAGGGAGAAAAAAGGAATAAAGGGTAAAAAATAAAAAAATTTAAACAAATTTCAAAGTATTACACAGCTGCATCTGACTTTTTACTGGGCCAAAACATAGCCTCTCTGCAACTTACCAGCTATCCCAGCTCCACGACGAAGCAGCCAGACCAATGCCTCGCCATACCTCTGGAGTCGAGTAACAGCACAATAAAACCCCCGGAGATCAAGACCCAGGAATCTCCACATTCATGAAGACTAGTGATGACAGCTTTGTTTTTCAGAAACAAATGCTGTAAAGATCGGGAATTCTATGCACATATTTTAAACATACATTAGGAAACAAATGTGGATCTAATTTAAGCTGCTACATTCTTTCCCTTCTAGAATCAATGATTTCATTTAAAACGAAGGTCAGTGTACCAAACCCCAGAGAACAGCGAGGCAGATGCGGTATCACTGGGGCCAGTTCCTTCTTCGGACATCACCTGTCACTGACCCCTGAGAGTTCTCCACCCAAACTTAGGATTAGAAACATGATAACCCTGCATCCAGCCACGTCACCAGTCACCGAGGTGTTAACCGGTAAAATCAAACACGTATCAGGACTCGAAAATGGAACACTGCTATTTTCTTAGGAGGTATTAATTACAGGTAGAGATAAATAACGTGCTGCTCCTCAAAATGACAATTCGGGAGGGGAGAAGGGTAGAAATAGTGGGAATATCTATTAATCTTTGTAGTTTAGAGAAGGATATACACGGCCTACTCTGAAGAAACAAGTTTTTAAGGGGTAATATTGTAATGCAATTAAGAGTTGTATTTTCCCTGTGGGTGTGTAAGTGTTACTGTTCAAGAGTGAAGTCAGTACCATAAAGAACTTAACGGCCTCAGGGTAAAGACTCCAGGTGGATTCTCTGCAACAGTGTGGGCCTCTATAGCTCTTGGGCAGAGACTTCCTTGCCTCTCAACCTATGCTTCTGACAATTCCTTTAAATGCTTTTGTATCCTTTTGACATCATGACTCTAAGCTCCCTCCCAAATCATGTTATGCCAGTTCTTTAGGATACATAGTTAAGAACAGACACCCCGCCCCCCCGCCATTTGGAAAGTACATCATATAAGTTACCTGAATCATCTCCATAAGAGAATTTTTCTTTAAGTGTTGCATATATTCTGAAAACTAAATTTGCAGTTCCTTTGTAGGTTTAGATACTCAAGATAAAAGTGATTTTTAAGTATTGACTCTAAGCTCCCTCCCAAATCATGTTATGCCAGTTCTTTAGGATACATAGTTAAGAACAGACACCCCGCCCCCCCGCCATTTGGAAAGTACATCATATAAGTTACCTGAATCATCTCCATAAGAGAATTTTTCTTTAAGTGTTGCATATATTCTGAAAACTAAATTTGCAGTAGGTTTAGATACTCAAGATAAAAGTGATATTTAAGTATTTACTCCTAAGGTCACGAGTCTGAGAAGAAAAGTCTCTGGATCCTCGAGAGCAGAAGAGTTCAGGTACTAATCTCCCCTTGCATCACTAACACCACTGTCTTCTTTCCCACATTTTAGTGTGAGAATGTGATGATACGGCTGCTATTAAAAAAACAAGTTAATTATACTACTCCTGGTAGTATTCCAAGGTTAGAAATAAAGCTTTTCACACATTTCACAGATTTAAATTATTTTCCCTTTTGCAATGCAGGTTCAAAATAGCTCTCACAATCATTTAAAAAACAACAAATTTTGGCATACCTTCAAACAGGTTATTGCATTGTTTAAATGACAGTGGCTCCTGCTCTAATGTAAATACAATCTGATGAAGCCTTCCTAATCTTCCATTCTTCCACAGCAATGGATTTAAACTTGCCGATTTGCAGAACCTCTTCTCTTTGCCTCCCTCCAAGGGAAAAGCACAGCGATTTAAATCTTATGACAACAGGCTTGCTTTTCTTGGTTACCTTTCACAAATATCTTGAAAGGAGTCCATGGACCAAAAAGGTCTGCTAAACACAGGCTGACAAAAAAATTTGTTATATTATGAAGAAAAAAGGAGAGTTCACTAAAAACATTTCAGAAGCTAATAAATAAAACAAAAACAGTTCCTAAGAAAATGTCTTTAATTTCATTTTATGGAAATACATCTTTTGTTTTTATTTCCATGATACAAAAATGTTAAATATCAAACATTTTCTGAAATCTATCAATGCAGATCCTTTTTTAAACAAATAAAGGGCTGGTGTAGTTAGCAGGTTTGTCACAGGTACCAAAAAACATTTTTACAAAACCCCCACAAACTGAGGAAGAAGAAGCGAAGAAATAGATCAAGACTTAAGAGTGAAAACAGCAACAAGACATGAAAACAGAGAAAAACTACATCCCACCAGGAAATTAATGTTTGAGAAACTTATAAGTTACAGTTTTTTGAAAGGATAAGGTAGTTGTAAAGTTGGAATTTACATGAATACTGGCAGCACAGAGGGTGGGGGATAGAGAATGGAAAACTAAAAAAGATTTCCAGATCAAGTAACTGGTAGAAAGCAATATGCAAACCTGCAGTTCTACCTGTTTCAAGAATGCTGACAGCATATTGATAATGCCTGAAAAAAATAGCTAAAGATTAGGAGGTTTGTGGTAACTCCCCTCAAGCATAGGAAACAGCCTCGCATGAAATCGTAGTGCCAGTTCTTTTTGTACATTTCATAGCCAGCATGCCAAAGTAGGTGACCAAAATACATTTAGTCTTGCTTCTTAAATCTAACATCATTTATGACAGCAAGGATTTCACATGATCAACAATGAATCATATGCTAGTTAATATACACACAAGTAAAACCGACAGCGATTGTTCAATAAACAGTTTAAAATAATTAAACTGATTTTCAGGACACATACTGCTTTGTTAACACCACTTTATTTAAATAAAGTATGGCTTCCAAGAGGTGTATTCTCACAACTGCTTTCAATTAATTCCACTTGTTAAGGCAGTTGTTTCCTACCATGTTTCAGGGACTTCAAAAATTCCAGCAGAACTAGCTGTGAGTCTTCCTAAAAGACAGAGTCACAGAACAATATATTAAAGACTTCAATATACAAACACTGACAGGAATAGAAATTAAATCAAGAATCTTTTTGTTTTTTCAGAGAACACGAAGACATATTTTCTCCTCTAAAGAGAGGCACTAAATACATTACCGGCAAGTCAATATTTACAAAGGGAAACCAAGAGATTGTTTATGAGTAGGCACTAAAAAAAAAAAAAAAGGTTAATGTCAAGTTTCTTAACCAAATGGTAAATATTATATCTTGCAATTAACGAATACTTTTAATTCAAGTAATTAATTTTGGTTTTGCAATAACTGGGATGATAAAATTAAATAATACTATTTTCCCAAGTGTACTTGCAGTTATTCTTGTTTAATGCAGTTAAGACAGTGAAGAATATTTCTAGCCTAAATTAATTGGAGAAGATGAATCACACTAACACTGATAATATGTGTTTCCATAATGCCAAATACAGAGCATGAATTTTATACTTGGAATTACAGTAGACAGTCTTGTAATTTTGCACATGCTTGCATGGCCCAATTGCCCTGTTGAGCTACAAGAAGAACGCAATTTCCAAGCTCAACTTTTGAATCAGCTAAGAAAGATTTTACTCTACCAAATCAGGAGAAAGGATGCTTCATATACAATACCACTTTCTGGATAAAAGTGGGTAGAGCAGATTGAAATGAAGTTTTAACTATTAATATTAATATAGCCTAATCAATTTTTGCAACAAATTACTAACAAAAGCCGAAATAGAATCAACAATAAATATATCAATAAAATATTTTGAGGTTTAAATTCATGTGACCTAATGTTATTTTTGTACGGGCTGCAATAACTCACACAACATAGCAAAAATATCAGGTAAAACATAATCATCTGATTGTCGTCTGCCTGAGGTTAGTCAGACCTACAGTTCAAAGTACTTTGGCTAAAAAATACGTAAGTATTAAACTCTGCAAAAAAGAACCCCTTACATCAACCTAGGTGAAGAGTCTTCAACAAAATAAAGAACAGTAAAGGCTACAGTTAAAAACACCACATAGAACATTGCATATACTAATGTATACATAAAAAAACTTTTTAGAAGAAAAAGAGATTTGCTGTTATAACTTGTATTAAAAACGCTATTGGTTTTTCAAGCATTACATTGTGAGTTCTAAACCAGACCAAAAAAATTTATAAAATACATAACAGAAGAAAGAAAAAAAAAAAATTATCATTTGGGCAAATCCACAGTTTGACACTTTTACAACAAAACACTACTATTTCTTCTACTTTTTAAAATCTGCATCTCCTGAAAGTGAGATTCCTCAAGCTTCAACAACTAGCAGTCCATGAAATGTGAATGATCTGCTCATGGTCCAGTAAGCCCTTCAAATAAGCGAAGGCTTACTCAGAGCATGTGATAAGACTGCAAGAACTGCTAAGGGTGACTATGATCCACCAGTCCAAAATATTTGGAAGGGATTTTAAACACGCTCACTTTTCCTTACCATCTTGCCAACTGTTACCAGAAAAAAAACCCCACAGCTAAGTGATCCATAAATGCAAAGCACCCAAAAAGCTAAAAGGGTCTGTGTAAGTTTAAAAGCCCAGTAGATCAGCACTTGTCTGGCAGCTTACTCCTTCGTTGAGTTGTCTCAAAGTCAACACATTCTCAAGAAACGTTCCAGAGAGGAAAGGGTTTCAGTAGAGTTGCAGCCTGGTTATTAATACCAGGGGATGTAAAGCAGCAGTCTGACTGGGTCAAACTGCACTCAACCTAAAACAGCACTGTGGGAAGCCGTGTGCCACAAGAGTGGTAAGGGGCAGGCAGGCAGACTGTCAAAGTTTTGGCTTAACTTTAGAGGTGAATAATATTCTGACCCGACTGAGACATTCCATTGTTTTCTCAACTTGAAGAAATATTTTATCTCAAAAATAACTGTAAATAAGGGATGCTACTGCAATATTATCAGGATATATAGTCTTCAAGTGCTCATTAAACGGGCACATATATTAGCTTCCAGGGCCGCAGGCAGTTTTATTAAAACTGGACTCATTTGCAAGCAACAGAGGTTGTAGTGACACACATCTGTCAAGTCAAGCTATGTGCATTCAAGTATGCTATGACTCCATCCAATCAAGCTTACGGGAACATGTCCACATTAAGTTAACCTTACATTTTGTGATAAAGTATTGGATTAATAGGGAAATCTACTCTAGAATCCTACTTGAAGAATTCCTTCAATTTTGCTTATGATAGGCAAAACACATTGGGTAACCTTAACTAGAAAGTCACAGTAAAAAATATGACAAAAAAAAAGAAAAAAAGAGATTAAGAATAGCTAAAAATATTCCTTATTTTAAGGAAGAAAGTAAGCAAGTAAGAAATCAACTACATCCTGCTTCCTTTGGTTGGTCTCAGGTGAGGTTTTGTTTGTTTGCGAGTTGTGGTTTTTTTTGTTTTGGGGTGGAGGTTATTTATGGGGGGGTTTGTTTTTTGTTTAAAATTTTTGTATGATGCAATCTTCACTTTAAAGAACTTTCCTGGACTTCTGTGAATGTAATGGAGTCAGTCACTGTTATAAGTTATTTTGCAGTAAGTTAAGACATTCATGACAACAACTTCAATTCTGTTCAGCCCTAGGGTAGTTGCAAACAGAATAGAAAACCATACACACAAACACTGTGCTTACCTGCTGGAACTTGTTCTGTCTTGATCTTTTTGAACTTTTTGGCTCTCTTTTTACCATCTGGAAGAGACTCTGCACAGGAGTCTGTCTGATTATATTCTGGATCTTGAGCTTCTCCCTCTTCCATATCATCAGAACCAGTTTCTTCCTGAATAGGACTCATGCTTCTCTTTCCCACTGTACTGGTACCTGTAAAACTGAAATGTAGAATAAATATGATTATGAACAAGTCAAGAATAACTATTACATAGGTACTAGTTGTTGTACATCTGTTTAATGCTTATGAAGGTAGTAGAATAAACTGTAGTAAGTGGTATACCATGAAATTACATTATCCAAAAGATCTGACTTAACTATAAAATGCCATAAATTGTCAATCTAATCCAATCTTATGTAAATAAAGGTATTCACTCTTTGTACGATAGATGTCTCGGGCTTAGCTGCTATTCTGAGGAGATCACTCAACTCAAATATCCCTGCTTAGTTTTAATTTTTACTCTCTTAGTTATGAAAGCTCTTGTAAAGCATTCTCAACAGACAATACATTTTATACAACTGTTAAGCCTCAAACACACATCTTGATATTGAAGGATCCTACATGCTAACTTCATCCTCTCTCCTGGAACTATATGAAGTTTTGAAAGCATTTCTATTATATAAAGGTAGAGAAAACCATCAAGCTCCATATAATAAACTTTAAATTAGGCCTTAAAGTGAAGAGTCCTACCATCCAACAGGCTGATAAAATAAAAAGCACGAAAAATTGCATGCTCATGTCATAGGTAGTATTTGAAAGAAGCCTGACTAATACAGTATGGAGATGAACTTGGAGCTCCATTTCATTCAGTATGCATTGAAATAACACTGCATAGATTTTCATTTGACTGGAATGCTATTGTAAAGTTTCCTTGAAAGACAAATGACAATATTAAAATCAAATTAGCATGACTATAAGAAAGATGCAGTAGCAAAAGGGCTAATTAAAAAGTAGTTCCCATTACAAACTTCTAGATATGTGAATATCAGCTACTAAAATGTCTATTTTAATGGTCTTTTAGAACAACCAATTAAAAAAGGTAGCTTTATACTTACAAACCTTTAGTTTTTCATTAAGAACTACACAAAAGGGCTGTACGCATCTATGCCATGTTCTTTTTTTTAAATAAAAAATTAATATTGAGTTACAGAACAAAGCTTTACGAGCTGGTTTTTTTTTTCTTTCTAATCAATAATAGCAGGGAATTACAGTGTTTCAAAAAGCTTTCAGCTAAAGGACTGTTAAATTTGGCTGTATAGTTTTGGCTTTGAAATGGAATTTTTTCAGCTGAACATTTTGCAATTTAAAACAGACTCTTTCTGGGATGTCCAAAGGCAATAAACAAACATGAAACACATGATTACGCCTCATGCTCCTACTTCCACTTTAGGAGCACAGACACCATTTACTTTGATGAATAGCTGGCTTTTCCTCCAAACATTCACACACAGAAGGCCTTCTTGCATGATTTCTTACAAATCATCGTTCTGAGTCACACCGCAACTACCATCAATAAAAAGATGCAAGCCAAAAAGCTGGATAGAACTATTTATCCTACATACACACTTCAGTATTGTAAAACAGGAAAAAACTGGGTTTGGAAAGAAAAAAAGTTTAGTGAAGAAAGAGCATTTAGAAAATGAAAAACTACTATTTTTTTTTTTAAACATTGTTTAGAAAAGTTTGTAAGGATTCTACTTTTGGGAAAGATATTCTGAAAAATACATGAGGAAGAAAAACTCAGGAACCATAAATTATGATCCCAGGATTTCTTAGACATATGAGCAATGGGCTCTTAGAAGCGAACTTGCACTCACTGTAGGAACAAGCTCCCTTTTGAAAGGTGTTATGGCTGAACTTAATTGTTTTCAACTTAGACTCTTGAGAAGTTATTGCAAATGAAGAGAAACAAGTTCTTGACCTTCAGTGCGCACTTAGCTGTGTACCAAAGTACAGAATAAAACTAATTTTAGGCCTTATGCTCTTCCAGCAGATACCTTAAGGAGAAAAAAAACCCAAACAAACCACAAACAAAAAACCAGCAGCACAAAATCCAAATTATATATATTTTATAATCAAGAACTGTTGACTTCTTGAGAAATATATTTCTCCCAATATATTAATTTCATTCTACATTCATTCATTCATTGCACGGATTCTACATGGCTAAGCGTAGATTTTTTTTCTGTGTCTTACTCTTCTTTGACCTAAAATAAGATTCAAGGACTACAGCAACGTTATTTATTCACTTAGCAATACTGGCAAATCAGTGTGGTTGTATATACAAGTTAGAGCACTACTCAGAGCAAAGTTCAGTTTTCTAATTATACCAGCTATTCTGGAATATGTCCATATTTCTGTCTCAATTTCCTCAGTCTGTTGAGAAACAACTAAACAAAGTGGAAGAATGAAACAACAACTAACAGCTATCAGTAATTGTCCGATTCAGATATACTTGCTTAGGCTCCCCAACAGTTTGGATACCTGAACCATTTAGAGACAGAGACTTACACCATCCATTAATAAATGGGGGGGGGGGGGAGGGGACAGGACACCAAAATACCCCACCAGAACAAAAGCCTATATACATTGCCAGTTGGCAAATCTATTTAGTGAAAACAATATAGCTTTCACATCAGTCAATGATGATGGTAGTTGGGGTTCCAAGCCTCTTCAAGGATGGCAGTTTCCAGTAGTCCTCCTTCCCCAGTCTCTCCCTTCTGCAGACCTATTTTAATGCCAGCCCACAGGCAAACCTGACAAGGATGAATGCCACTGGAGGACGTTGGTAGAAACAGAAAATCTAGATTTTATTCTCAATTTCTATTCCTATTAAGTACAATCCTAATCAACAAAGAATACAGTATTTTTGTTCCAGCAGTATGACTAGCAACATTAGTACTAAACACAATTTGATGAATCAACAGGATGTGAAGGACATATATATGTCACTCTACTGCCAGAAAGAGCAAGGACTCCACCTGATGAAACTGCCCATAAACTTTGTAATGTCATTTCGGCTGCTAAATAGCAGCAATCCAACTAGTACTATGATAATTATTTTGAAAGAATCAGTAAGTGGAAGGGGGGCAAAAGGTGGGAAAACAATTTTGATGATTTTGATTTGAAAACAATTTTCATGTAGCATTAAACATTTTCTGTTTTGGAAAAGCATGTCCTACTTTCAAAAGGACCACTTACTTCCATCACAATGGAGCATCTTGAATTGGCCTGGATATATAGAGGACTCCGAGTAAATTTCATTTAAAGAAAAACATAAACCCTGTGTTCTCTTGCCACTTTGAACAACACTGGGAGTAGTTACTGACCCATCATTAAAATCAGTCATTTCAGGTCAAGAGCAGGTGAAATCACCTGAAATAACACTAGAATACTGAAGTACTATAATAATTTACTTGCAATATTTATTATCCATATCTTTAGTGACTCAGCTTTTCCCAATTCTTATCCTTTATTTAGTAATAAACCACTATAAACAACCTTTTCTGTAAAAAACCCGAAGAATCATCAGCAGAAATACATGAACATTTCAAAAAGGAGATAAACCATCTTCAGCAAAATAAAGGCATTCAAGGATGTGGTGCTACAAACAGCACCCTGACTTGACAGAAGATGCAGCACTCCTGGTTTTAGGTAGAAAATTTGTAAGGCAAAATAACGTATCACTTTACGGTACTTCATCCTAATTTAAGTCTTTTGTCATTGGTCTTATTCTATGTTAATCCTAGATGATGATCAGGAAAATTAGAGTAAGTACAAGTAGAACAGGATATCTAGTTTTACGTATCACATACCCTCTTTAATTTATCATGCTCTGGTTTAACACTGTTTTGGTAAGGAAAAGATCTTAAATCCATGCATTTAACAGTCACAGCAGCGCTGGCAGGCAGTTATTTTCTAAGTACAACATAGCCAGTGCTGTGTAATACACAGGAGGCCATGCTCGTTTCGAAAGTGTGTTCTGAACAGTGAATGGCCTTCAAGAAGGGGATCTTATTAAGTGCTTGAAGTTTTGTCAAATGCATCAGTTTTTCCTCTACTTCTCCACCTGATATTAATAATCAGGCACATTTCCATTAAAATCAATTTTGATATCTAACAGTAGTAATAAGTTACATGCAAAGGGTATATATTAATTATAAGTGATTTTACCTTGTAACTGCAATTAATACTATTATACTATTAACTTTTCTGATGAGTGGTTCCTCTATAATATAGGACTATAGTTTTTTTTAGTAAGACAGGAATTAAGGAACCTTTGTTACATACTTACCAACCTGTCCATTTAAGACAAAAGTTCCTTACAAGAAATACCCAACAACTTCATTGCTGAATGAGAAAGTAGTCAGGATATATTGTCATCATGGAGAGGAACAGCTACTCTGCAGCTGTGCTCCCTGGCAGAAATGGCTGCAGCAAGCTTATTAAATAATAAATAAATAAAGGATGTAGTAACATGAAGCTATTATAAGAGATCAGCTGCTAGATACATCACCATATTGAGTGCTCAACTATTTATGATTCAAATTAATCTGGACAAATACACACATATATACATGTGTGTATATTTGTACATACATGTGTGTGTACATATATGTTTATCCCGATTGCTTTATATAAATATTTATAATGGTTATATGCACACTATATAAAATATAAATACATGTTTTTGATACGTCTTTGTCTGGAAACAAAAGGGAAATGTTCATCTCGAGTGAATTGAAAGACTGCAAGGTTTGCAGTTCCATGTTATACTTAACCAGATTACACTTAAGAGAAAATGTTTACAAAAGATTAGTTGAGAAGAGAACACTGTCTAACTAGTAACGAATAAAAATAAAACTAAGAAAAACATGTCAAAAGGCCTGCATGAAAGGGAGTTTGGGACAGAACCGAATCACTTTACTAATGGAATAATGAGAGAACAGAAATTCATATAACATCAATCACAAAAAAAGTTCTATCAACAAAATAAAAGCTGCTATCCAAATGTTGATCATCTAAAACCAAGGCTGCTTCTTGTGGAGTTTTACAACACTAGAAAAAAATCGACTAAAAATTTTCAAGGAGATTAAGTGCCTTAGGCACTCATTGAAGTATTATCATAATTTTACAGAAAGAATTAACTGAAAATATTACTCAGCCATTTTCCAAATTATACATTTGCAGTAGTCCTCAAACTTCTTTGCCAGATAACAACCGATCAGCTTTCCACATCTACTGTTTTCTAAAGTATATGCTAAAATAGTAAGTTGTCTATAGTTCAAACCATAAGCTGCTATTCTTAACATCTGTCTAGAATCTGTGAGATACCCAAAAAACAATGCTGAGAAGAGACACCTCCTCTAGTAGAAATAAAACTAGGACTTAGTATTTCTTTGCAGGAGACTCAAGATGTGATAAGTATTTTCAGACTACTTAATACAGACTTAATTATAGATCTAAACCCTAAGGTTTAGATGTAAACTAGTGTCAGGACAATCTTTAAAGCGCCTCATCTCTTCACAGCATGCACTCCAAAGTTTTCCTACGTACAATAGTTCAATTAAACTAACTTCATTTGATATGGATTTTATCACCAGCTTCCCCCATATGGGTTTTAGGGATCAAACATGTCTCCAACGCATTTAGAATTCCCACCATGACAAAAGCCATGAACATTTGACAGCTAGCCAAAATACACACCTGCATTTAATTTTGCAAAGTAGGCAAATCATAAGCTCATGTAAGTGAGAAGAACAGAACAAGATTAGCATATTTGTTACACGACAGATAACATTTACAGGAAGATATAATGAGAGCTAGAATGTATCATAGCATTTCCAAGAAAGATAAAGCGGAAGGACCTCAGTGTTAGTTTTATGACCATCTCATTTGGTTTGTCTAACCAGGAAAAAAAACCAAACCACCAACTCAAAACAAAAACAAACAACAAAAAAACAAAACACCACCTTACAGAAACGTAACTTACAGACTCTACTGAAACTTTTTTTTATATACAGCTGATAGAATCTGGAAGTGGGGGGGGGAGAGAGAGAATGAATGGCAGTAACTTGACAGGTTAAATATACAATTATATTAACACTAGAAGACCCTCCTCATTCACAGATGACTGAGAAAGAAGCCTGCTGTTACCATCACATCCAAAACCTGTCATTAATATAAAGGGTAGAAATGGAACAAGAAATACACCCAGCAACACACTGCAACAGAATCAAAACGAGCATCTCCTAACTTAATTTTGTCCTTAAATAATGAACTAAAAGCTTTTTAAGTTTTACTCCAAAAGCTTAAAGTCATGCAAGTATCATCATTTGCTCCCCTGTTTCTAAAGCATAAGGACGACTTCATCAGGACTGCTCAAGATGGTAATTTATACCCTTCTCTGTGGCAGTATTATAACCACGGAAAGTCATCCAAAAACCAAGACAGCCTTTACAAGGGTATAAGATGACAGCCAAGTTTCCAGATGACGCAAGCCAGAGGTGTCAAATGAAGGAAGAAAATAATTTTTTTTTTATTTTGTTTATACGAAAAGGTACTGCTACATCAAGCTCTGAAGCTGTGATTTGACCTGCACACAAGATCCCAATATTTTAAAAACTTGTGTAATCATATTTGTGACAAAATTCCCTCTACTCCTTTACCTACGATCTTTTGACAGCTGATATACCACTACTGATTTATATACAAAGAAATATGTACAGGAAACAAGTCACCTATCGGTTATGAACTACCTGAAAATTGCTACACTTCTAATAAAAATGCAATAAAAATACAAGAGTTGTCAATGCAGGAAAAGTCTCACCTGTTAACACAGTAGTATCGACTCTGGGAAACATAAGGTGTGCAATGAGTTTTTAACCGCTTTCTCTCCATCTCCTTCCAACTATCTTCTGTACATTTTCTCTTTGCCTGTTTTTCTTCATGTTTTTTCTCAACATATTCTGCATAAGTCTGGATCCTATAACTTTCAGCATATCTGCTGGTGTTTACAGCTACGGGGAAGAAGAGTGATGTTACATACAAAACACTTAAATGACAGCATGCCCTCTCCTGAAATAACTTATTTTGAAAAGCAGAAGGCAGTAAACTATTTGTTCTGTTTATATAAACAACTTCTAGTTCCATCGTTAGTGATTAAAAAAAAACAAACCACAAATGCTGTACTGTCCTAAATTCACAAGGTATGTTTGAATTAGATATTCAAAATTCTTTTCAGAGTCAGACTTCATACAAAAAGGGTTAAATCTACTTAAGACTTTTCTTTTAAATTAGAAACCATCAATTCTTGAGTCGTAACCCTCTTCCAGATTGCTTGTTGGCAAGAAAAGATTTCCTGGATTTTTTCCCTTTTAGTCTCATTACTTAACCCAGCAGGTTTATTTTGCAAGTCTGCCAGGAAAAGACGACATTTGCAAAGCCTGTGCCAAAACTCTGTTTGATTGCTGTGAAACATAAGCTTATTTGAGCTGCATTTTTGGTTGCACAAGATATCCGTGGAAGCAGCACTTCACTAATATCCAGCTGTTCCATCCTTGTATCTTTCTAATGTTTGGTTTCTATTTAACTAAAAAGACTGTGAGTTCAAGGTAGAATGATTTCTGTCAAAGCAAAATTAGAAGCACTTCAAAAACAAAGAAAAAACTTTCACTGCCTTCACTCAGCAACAATTTACCAACATTCCTTCAAGCCCTGCATCTTCACAGCTCTCAGCCTTTAGTCTGCAAGCCAAGCTCTGGCCTAAAGCCATCACTATAACAGATGAATCAGCAAATTAAACTGACTGTCAGCTGGTGTCCTCTGCTGTTTTCAGACTAACTCACTGAAGGAAAGTATTGTAAACCAAGCAGTAAACCAGTTTAAATATAAAACAAAACAAACAAAAAACACCAGATTGTTTTTCATATACTTGAGCTGCACATTTTAAAATACCATAATTGTACTGGAGAAAAAATCCTGATTTTATTACGTACTTCCAAATTTTGTCAACATTTCAGATGTGTACCCAACTTCCTGATTCTAGTTGCAGTGTTGTCACCTTGAATACAGGTATTCTGTGTTACCTCTAGCCCAAGCACTAGAAATAGCAAGCTCCAGCATCACAAGTCAGAAGAGGTGAGGAAGATGGGTGTACTTGGATTTTTGCCTCTTTCAGAAGAGATTATCTATTCTGCATAGTGGCTATGCTACTGTGAAACCGATTACCTATGATACCAGTCACAGCATACAGCTCCTGCTGCAAAGTCTCTCAAACATACATAAAACTCGGCAACAGCTTTGTATATTTAATTTTAAAGCCAAGAATAGATACCAGCAATTATGATTAATAGCCTCATGAGATTGTTGTACTAACCAAAGAGATGTTATGTATACCTCTTTCACACCCCTTTAATTTGTTTCGAACTGTGAAGTTACAGGATCTGTTTGTAAGAATTAGGAATATATTTATTGCCCATGAATTTATGGTGCAGGCATCATGAATGAATTAATAATGCTCACTGGAGTTACTGCATGCCAGCCGACATTCCTCAGGGTAAAATTTGTTTAGTTAAACTAAAGCATGTTTTTACTTGCTAAAGTCAAGCGCATAGTTACCATAGATCATCTGATAAATAGTGATTTGTTAAAACACAATAACCATTTCATATTATTTGTTTTGCTATAAACTAAGAGCCAAAGTTACGGCTATTCCATTTAATTCCGTGACAAACCTAGCCTGTATTTAAGGGAAAAAACAAAAAATCATCTTTATGCAGCCTAAAGATAATTTTAAAATAACTCTGTGTAAGAGTCAATACTTTTGAACAAAAGACAACTCTGCTTTCCTGAAATAAGGCCTGTATTTTATAGCAACCCGTTCATATTACACATAAACACAAATACATGCATATGCATATAAATATATATGTGTATATATAATTTAACATGAAAAATTATGTGCTGAATATATTGCTTCATGCAGTGAACAACTGAAATGAAGGTGTATGGAGAATTCTAGACAGCCACGCAGCTACAATCAATCTTGCACCGTCTTGAACTGAAAGGCAGCTCCCTGTAAATTTAAAATACATTTTCTCTGATTTTTTTCTTATAAACGCTGTCCGTATTGCCAAAGAAAGCAAATACAGTTATGTTGCTCTGCACTGCCAATAGAAGAAATGTGTTGCTAGAATGCTTTGTGAATTGTAGCAAACTGAAGAGAACTTAGGGGGTTTATTATTTTTTTAAATCATAAGAGAGAAGAGAAATCTTTCTGTGAGAAACCTCACCTAGTAACCAACAACACATGGCTGCATTTCATTATGCTAGTCGCAGCTGTAAAGTTAAGTTTCTGTCTTATAGTAGGATAATAGTAATTGCATATTATTTTAGGAAAAACATTTCTACAGGATGGCATCTTCCCTAGTTATTAGGCAAGCTGTAAAACAGGCCGACTGACACTGAGCTATCCAAGATGAATGTGTACAAAGATACTCTTTCACCAAGTCCTTGCTCTTATGCAGAGCAAAATCCTGACAGACGGCCACAGACAATATTAAGTCTCATAATAAATAGACAAATATTTAAGTGAACTGTGTAGATAAAAAAATATATAAATAAAATACACAGAACTACAGAAATTAAGGCTGCAATAATAAACACTCAAGTTTATGAAATACTGAAGTGAAAATTCACCTGTGAAGCCTTAAAGTGACCTCTGTATAGATGCTGTGTTAGTCTTATCTGATCATGTACTGCTTAAAACATGAGACTGCTGCCTCAGTTGGATCGACAGCGTTCAATTAGAGAGCAGCTAATTCAGTATTTTGTTTTATTCTCATTACTCACTGTATGGTTCCACAGCTTTATTTACTGACTTCTAGGGCTATTCATCCTCCATTTAAAAAATAAGATGTTTGCATGTGCATTTTTTTCCATCATGGCATTGTCCAGTGTTTCAAAGTAAGGCTCATGAGCTGAAGCAGCAGTGCTATGTGCCTATTTTATAAACAGAGAGTAGAAGTAAAGACTCAACATCCCAAATTAGAGGGCATCTTTTAAATTAACCTAAATGGAAGGGAATGCTCTGTGCAGTGGACAACCTAATCAGGGCTGGGTTCCTACAGAGCAAATGTATTAACATATTCCCAGAGAAGACATAAATCAAAATTCTCCAAAAGAAACAGCATGTGATCACATGGCCAGGGACTTTATCAATGCATAAGCATAAATCACCTATCTTATGGTAAATATTAGTGAAATTGGCATTGCAATATTAATGTTGGGGTTTCTTTAGCCTATATGCGTCTTTCAGACCTTTAGGCATACCTGGACAATTTCTGCTGCAGGGCATCACAACGTTACACACACAAATAATTAGTTGGACCAGAAGTTTTAACTGTACTTCTCCAGCTTCTCCCACTAGAATCATGAAAGTTACTGATAGTTGCTAGTGTTGACTCAGTATAAAAAGCATTGGGCACACTCTCAGTTGGCTTCTCTTGGAACAAGATGCATGAACTTGCAAGACTTCTCACTAATTAGCCAACATTTCTGCTGATTTCTGTTTTTATCATACCCTCTCCTCCTATTTGTCTTTTTCACACTTCAGTCTTTTCTGGGTTTGTCTTTATCTCATATTGGTCTCACAATCTATCATAACCCTAAACATTCTTCAACATTAAACTCACTGTTTCCCACTTTCTCTGGCAAGGCAGTACTCCTATGGCCTTTTTAAAATTGTTTGTCTCTGCTACCATTAGGCACCAGTTTTCCCCAAGTTAACCAACCTACATCCCATTATCCAGTTCTCGCTCTTTATCCCAGTTTTTTTCATGCAGGGTAAGTAGTCACTGTCAAATGCATTTTTCTTTAGTGTCAACCCAGTTTATTTTCAACCTGGTCCAATCACAGCCTCTTTGCTCCATCTGAACATGTAAACTAATTAGTTCCTAATCTCAGCCCATTCACTTGGCCATCCCTTGACTAAAACAAGGAAGCAGAGCTGGCAACAGGGCTGGAACCATGCACTGGTCTATATAGTACTACAAAAAACCTTTGTGAAATAAATCCTTGGCCCACCTCCAAAAGGACCAGCACACTTGAAATTGAAAAAAATATTTCAATTGTGACTGAAGAGAGTAAAAAATAACTACTAATTCAGCTACAGAAAGCCTGATTGCCTGCTTTCCATTCTCCATGATAGCTGTGCTGCCGCATCAAAACACTTTTGCACATACACAAGGTACAACAGCAGACTTGCCCAGCATTGCTGAATGAAGTGACACTTCATCAGTGTGCTTCTCAAGATCCTTGTCCTCAAGGAAGGTTAAAGAGAAAAAAAACCTCACTGCAAACCATTAAAAAAAAAAAAAAGTAGAGCACTAAATAAAACACAGTATCAAGATCTCATGAAAGATCCTGCATGAAAGATCATCCTGCACTGAAGCATCATGAAGGGAACCTCTTGGTTTGCTCTCATGTCAGGAGATAATTAAAATTAACTTATAATTTCTTTTACTCATAAAAAAAATTTAGCCATGCAGAAGTCAGAGCCTAATTGTTTGAAACCTAAAACGTAGCATAATTTTGGATCCCAGCACCACTTAGAAAAATTCAAAAACCTTGAAGAAGTTAAAAAGTTAAAAGTCAACGTACTTCCAGAAATATAACTACAGTTGACTGTCTCAGATATCAGCAAAATGATTTATTCCGTCTTTTATTCAGTGATAAGGAAAGCAGCCTCCATGTAACTATTAGAAAGTCTCAAGTCTCTTAATACAAGTTGTAGCATTCAATCATAAAATAAGTGTGCTTCAACAAGTTTTCAATTATTTAACATGCCTGTTTCCCCCCGCTTCCCCAAGGGAATTTATCAAGCTTCTGTAGATGCATTGCTCCTCCTCAGCTGCCCAAACATTAAACAGGCTGGAAGGTACTGTATTTAAGAAGTGCCAAGTCTCAACATTTTCTTAGAGAACTTGAGGTTTTTTATCAATTACACCAACACAGACCA